TTTGTGCTTCGCGGAAGGTAAACTTCGGCAAACGCCCACTAGTGCCATTTAGGACTCTTAAAGGGTTTCTAGTCCCATTACCGCTGTAGGTTATTTTCTAACAGCAAAAGTAAAAGAGAATGAAATACAGTGCTTGTACAAATCTCAATTACTACAAGATAAATTACGTGCAGTCCACTTTTTCGTCAATTTGAATTTACTCAAAACCTCTATTGGTTGGATGGAAAACTGACCAGAAACTCTCCGCAAACTAAATCTGAAAAAATAAACATTCTCTAACATATCATGAAAAAATTGATTTTGTCTTGGATTTTGTTTTAAACAAATCATATATTTACATCTTTACAGACCAGGAAAATACGAGAAGTGTCAGTTTTCCTGGAGACCTACGTTTTATATCATTAGTTTAGCAATGGACGGTTTTAGGATCCATTGCATACATACTTTGACAATATTCATCCATATTCTGATATTCAATGACTGCACAGTCTGTGTGAATCAGCATAAGAAATGTTTTACACAGGAACGTTTGAATTATTTCGCCTGGTAAATCAAACGGCATTCGGAATCCACATAAGCCTGTGATCTTTAAACAGATGATAACATAGTTGAGCATGGACTTATAAACAACATCGGCTGGCGTTTTACCTCTTGTGAAATAGCCAGGTGTTATCAATCGGATTCTAAGTGTTTCATGGACAACGGAGTTGAAATTTAAAGTTGATAAACAAAAGCATCGATAAAAGATTTTTCCAGTAAATTACAGGTAGAGGAACATGAAACCAATGGAACACATTTGTCTTCTAATCTTGTGTAATTTGGAAAATTGATAGTTACTAACCGGCTCGCATACAATCGAAGGTAATTTTTTATTCTTTCAATTGAATAGCCAAATCAATAAAGTGAAGCTTTTCCTTACTTGTGATAACAATTTATATCACGTAACTAATTGTTTGAGGCATCGATCTTCGTGAATTAGTATCCCATATTCGAATGTATGTCTGTAAGACAATGTGACTGTCACAATACCATAAGCATGGATTAGAAGAAAACGCAAATTAGGTGAACAAGCTTGTTCATAATGACTTAGCTGCTGACCACGAAGTAACATTATTATCAAGTTATCTTATTAAAAACGTAAATAATAAAACTGAGAGTTATAAGCGATCCTTTCTGCAAGAAAGACTTGAGGTAGTAGTTTTTCACTATACAGATCGATGGGAAAGATCAGCTGCTCCATTGTGGGATGGAAAGATGGCCACTGTTGAGGGCCAAATGGTTTTCGAACTAGTCAGAGGGACCAGAGCGGAAGCACGCGCTCGCCTCTTATGTTCGTTGTGTCTCGGACTTCATTTTTCACCGGATGACTCCAAACGCAATAGGCGGTTCAAAGTGCCACTTTTAAAATTCGTTGTATGATTAGAGTCGATGCAGTGTGCCATAATGACTCGTTAGATGAGTTAATCGCCTATGAAAACTCACAAATACAATGAGAAAATAAACTGAGAGACTTAAATGCATTTTGAAGCAAGCATGGATTTGATTAAGTCTGGGGAATATTCGTGGTGTTAAGGATTTGAATGACGACAGGCTCTAAAATATTGTGATATTATACCAACTTATACCCTTAAACAGCTGAAAGAAAGAGTTATCTATTATTAAGGCGAGGGGACACAGGACGCACAAACACATATCAAGCACCAGCAGGGATTCAAATTTATTGATTATTCACATAAGCACTGCATACATCAATAGATGCTCTATATCGGTGAGGCAAAACTAAATGGCAAAGAAAAGATGACTGTCGAAACACTTTATATTCAACGTTATTGACCAAAGTGTAATCCTACCACGGGATCTCCAGAGGTGCATAAGAAACTAAATTATCTCGAGCTAAACAGATGCAATCTCTTTAGATTATGCACAGTATTCTTAGCTTCATTCGTAACATAGGGTGGGGGCGTTAGACTGATTGTGGATAGTTTCTATGTAGTCACAAACGTGTAGACTTAGGTTTGCTGAAGTACGTCGAGACGGTCTGATCGCGTTTCGGTGTACACGTGAATATTATGCTCTTGTTCCAACTATGACGCCTCTGATTTTTTAGTCTTTAGTTGAGTCGATGAAAATCAAGTAGGTTCAAACAGCTTTCCGATACTTTCAAGCCGTTCAATACACATAGTATTTGCTTTGTATGCTGCCAAATTGAATATATAAACTAGGGTTTGTTCTTAGGGACTACGTACAGTGACAATCAAAGCCATTGAGGGTAGAGAGTAAAATAAATCCATGAAGCAACCTTTATGAAGGTGACCAAACAGTAGTTGTTTCGTTCTTGTTCGACCCCCCCCNCCCCCCCCCCCCAGCAGAGATGCTTTCTGTATTCATGGCGCCACTATGACGCAGGTCATGAGCTTTTGGTTTAGCATCAGTAATCCTGTGTCTAGGAAATTATCTGAGATAAAAGAGAACACTATTTCGAAAACAGAGAGAGCATTTTAATTCTCGTTTTAGAAAAGAAAATTGGTATTATCACTTGTGTGCAATATCTTTCACCGGCTATAAAAAGAGATCCTACCACAAAATCATGGACGGGTCCAACCAAAGCATCCAAAATAAGGCAGTTGACATTTCAATGAACTATGTATAAGTTGACTGGTTTCGCTCAGCGGATAGATGGACAGATGCATAATGCAGCTGTGGTCTTCAATCTTCAGTCTTCAGTATTGAGGGCAGAGAGCAGGGTGCCTGTGTAGGCCCTATCACCACTTGGTGGAAGGTCCGATCACAAATATTCATTCTTCCATAGCCCCTCCAGATGCTCATCCAGACGCCGTTTGAAATCAGCGTCTGTGTTCTGCTTCAACACGGTCGCTAGAAGGGAATTCCAGAGTGTTGTTGACCTTCGCGAGAGTTGATAGACTAACGGAAGACCAACTGACTGAAGTTTCCGCAACGTGAGAGAGAGTGCCCCCGCGTGCGGTCCTTTCTCAGTAAAAGGAAGTACTGTTGCAGCTCCGGGCCCATATCACCTCTCAGGATCTTCCCCAGACAGATGAGGTCTCCCCTAAGGTGCTGATACGCAACTGGGAACAGACCAGTGGTCTGTAGACGACCTTCATAACTGGTCCCGCGTAGTCCGACAACGAGTCTAGTGGCAGCACGTTGTACACGCTACAACTTACCCAGTTCACTGACCGTGCAGGGGTATGTCGCCGCACCACCATACTCAAGTCTTGGTCTGACGTGGGAAGCGTACAGCAGTCTGAAAGCGTCCATCGTGAGCTGGTTGAAAAACCGCCGAATAGGTCCCAGAATGCTCCAAGCGCTGGCACAGACCCGATCGGTGTTTTCTCGGGTCTTTACTGATGACGTAACCATTACTATCAGGTCTCTTTCGCACGATGTTCTGCGCAATGTGGTTCCCTGGAAGCTGTAGACTACCTTTGAGTCAGCACGCTCCAAGTGCAGGTGAGCACACTTTGCGGCGTTGACTGAAAGAGCCCAGGTGTCTGTCCACTAAGCGGGGTTGTTCAAATCCGCTTGAAGAGAGTTTCGATCATTCGGATCCTCAATTGTACGCCAGATTTTGATGTCATCCGCATTCATGAGGGATGGGCTGCACAGCTAACTGGGCAGATCATTCACATAAACCACAAAGAGCAATGGACCAAGAACCGAGCCTTGGGGGACCTCAGTGGGAGCGGAATACCATGCAGATAGCGATTTTCCAACACGGACGCAGAATTTCCGGTAGATGAGAAAGCCTCGCAGGTAATTCAGTATGACCACACCTACACCCAAGTTGGACAGCTTTCGCAGAAGGAGGTCGTGCGGCACCTTGTTGAAGGTCTTGCTGAAGTCCACGAAGATGATGTCCGTTTCGTGTCCTTTGGCCTTGCCCTCGGTCCAGCATTCACATGCAAGTAATAGGTTTGAGAGGCATGAGCGACCCAGCCGGAAACCGTGTTGTTGGTGGCACAGGTGACCGTGGCACACCAAATGCTGCCGAAGCCGTGCAGCCACCAGTCACTCCATTACTTTACCCACAACACTAGTAAGGCTGACTGGTCGGTATTTTACAGGGTCACTCCTATCCCCACCTTTGGGTAGTGAAATAATGACAAAATCCTTCCACTTCCGCGGTAAACGCCCTTGTGTGAATGACAAATTGAACAGGTTGCACAGTGGCACTGCAAGTTCATTTGCCAGCTCCCTAAGGATAAGCGGATGTGCACTATCAGGTCCAGGTGACTGGTGAACCTTCAGCCGATGCAGCTCCAGGGCCACCTCTCCGATAGTAAATGGAGTCCAGTTCAGGGCAGTTTCAGTGCCCAGTGGGTGTGCCTAGGGTGTACACTGAGGCATAATGTGATGCCAACATCTCCGCTTTGTCCTCATCTTTCTCGGTTAGTCCTTCGTCTCTGGTGGAGACCAGCCGTCGCCCGAAGATCTCGATCAAACCACGGCTGGTGTGTTCGTTGGCGGTGGGGTGGAGAGAATTCCAGTACGACTTGATGGATTCTATGATGAACCAACTTCCAGGATTCATCCACATCCTCAGGGTTTCGGGATCCCAATTTATGAGCGATGAAGCCTGACGCATATCTAGAAAGGATGAGCACCACGCATTCCGTCCTATGGTCTATTCGTTCGGGGTACGCCACGCCTCCAGTGTATACGCAGAACGGAATGATCACTAGATGCAATTGGTGGAAGGAGGTCAATCCTGGTCGCATCTGTTTGCCTCGATGATAGCACCAAGTCAGTGATGGATTTTTTATCCCCAACTATTCGCGTGGGCACATGAACATGCTGAACAAGCGAGAGAGCCCGGAAAAGAAGTTCTCTGGAAAACAAATCCGCATGCTGAAAGCAGATATCAGTTTACCAATCAATATGTGCACTGAAATCACCCAAGATAAGACAAGTTCCATCGCAGGCGTACTTCTGTATGCTGGCCAAAAGCTCTGGGACATACACAGCCGATGTGCGGTAGATCACTCCAACTGTGGTATACCCTCCGTTACAAAGCTTGCTTCTGCACCACAGGGCTTCTCCAAATCCTTCCGGATGGGCGTAGTTCTCCAGCACTCGAACAGGGAGACCCGAGCAGACAAAAATAACAACTCCAACACCGCGACGTGACCGTCATCGACCCGTTCGTAACACTTCGTAACCGCTGAGGGATATTTTGAAGTCCCGGACATCCGGTGTCAGCCAGGTCTCAGTAATTGCAAAAAGATCGGGATTGTGTGATACAACCCAGTTCTCCAAATCATCCCTTTTTCCCAGCATCCCAGCATCGGATATTGGTTCAGGCTAGCACAGCGTGGTTACCTCGCCATTCGCGCCCCAACCTGATACCCCAGGCCGTGGTTAAATAGTCTCCTGGGTCCTCCCCCGACCAAGGGTAGCCAAAGCAGCTGAGGACGCTTCCGATGCACACGAAAATCCCGTATACACAGATCAGTTTCCCCTTTCGCACGGCGCTCCATGAGTTCTTCCAATGCAGTTTTCATTTTACTGCGCTGGTCCGAACCAAGATCCTTGAGGAACCGCGCCGGAGTTCCTTTCAGCTTGTGGGTCCGCTGGAATATCGCTTTGGCCTCACCTTCTGCTCGAAGAACCACCTTCAGTGGTCGTGGAGAATTATCCTGGCGGGGTTTTCCAAGCCTGAAGGCCGCGTTTACTCTGATTGATGCTGCTGGTTCCACCTCGTCACCATCAAACAAGGTAACCATGTGCGACCGAAGCAGCTGCAGGTGGTAGTCTAATCGAGCCTGGGTGGCGGTGGCCTCAGCCTCCGTAGGATTGACAACAATAATGCACTGCGATCTCGGAGGGAGCTTCCTCTGTTGCATAGGTTCCTGCGAATTGCGGGGGCACCTCTCAGTTGTCCGTGACATGTTACACGCATCTTGCCTGGATGTTGTGGACGAGGGAGCTGAGTCTGTCCGTGAGGGCAATGAAGCAGATGATAGCCCTGCCCTTTTTTCGGCTGCTTCTGCTGCGGTGCGGCTGCAGAAACTGCTTTCGTAGGTGAAGTGGAAGTGACATCTGCATACCAAGGTGCCACTTTCACCACAGTAGCCGGCGTTATGAGGGCTAGAGAGTTTTTTGGAAGTGAAGATTCGCCTTCCTTGGGAGCGCTTTGGCCCTGGGGCCCACAATCCTGGTGCAGGATAAGAACGTGTTTTTGGAAGCCTCGCTTTTTTAAGGCATTTCCGATTGAATAGATCCAGTTGAATGCACAAAACCACAATAGAACAATCCCATTTCACATACGGTGGAAAACTCGGTGCACCGGTGTACCTGAATACCAAAACATAAAAAATTATAAGGATTTTTATCGTAGGAACAATAAGCCAATTTCACACATCTTCATCGCACTCAGCACAACAAGGCGTAACATTAACATTGCACAATGTAATCAGATCGACAGTGAACTTTGCGTGATTCTGTCTCAATTTTGCTGGCAATGATCATTCTTGTTTCGCTAGCTGCAGAACACGTTCTCTTTACAAGAAAATCTATGACCTTGTAAATTGTTTATCCCTAATTGTGTAACATGAGAAGCCGCGCGCAGACTAATTGAACTAACTCAACTTCTACTGCCCAGATTGTTCTGCCGAGGAGATCTATACCACGGCAGGCCTGTACCAGCAATGATTTGAGATCATTCTCAAAGGAATAACAACAGTTCTTTGTCTTTGTCATTTTTACTTCCTTATATTGAATACACAATGATACCATTTTCAGGAAGGGGGAAACGGCCAATCAAAGGGCTGCCACACAACACAAAAATGGGGAAAGTTAGGCGGTGGAGGTGGAATTCGAATACTCGTCCTCCGGGGTGATAATTTCGCGACGTTACCACCAGGCCACCACCGTTCAGGTCGAATAATTAAAACAACTTGGCTTTTATGCACCTGTGGTGATCCGGGTCTACGAGATGATGCCTACCCTGGAGTGACGCGTTGCAGGTTTTGGACAAGTGCGATCAATCAAATTTCACGGGTGGCGCAGACAGAAGCAGAACGATGCAGCCAATACTGGAACGCGACTGATAGAAGCCCGGACAACCAATAAGCCTACTTTGTATATATTATTTAATACCCTTCATTTCTTCCAATAAACGAATCACTACTCCTGAGGCCTTTTTCCTCGTGTCTCAGTTGCGTGGCATATTGCGTGCTACTGCCACTGCGGTTCAGTTCCCACGTGATCCAGTCCGTGATTGCTAATTCTTGATTCTTATTCCGTGATCCGCATTGTTTGATTCGTATTTCGAATTCAGTGCGCATTACTACTACTACCACAATCACTACAGCACGCTATCATAAACACAGTGCTGGTTGTTTCCTAAGCTGAAATTCTATTGTTGTTTCACAGCAGATCACAAACCCTTGCACGTAAAAACTTCTTTGAACTGAAAAACATGATTCTATTTATTTTAAATCTACGCAAAGCATGTACTTTTCTCTAATTTTCATCGTTTAATTAACTGTGTCGCTTTTGTATATTACGACCGAGTCCAAAGCTTTACTTGACTCTAGGAGTCTTCAAGACCGCTCCACGCAAACACATAACTGTCACCGAAAATTAGCTCATACTGTCGATATATGTGACTACTCGAATAGATAGGAACGAGATGATCGTATTATTATTGTTTATGCATGATGCATTAATGAGTAAAGTGAATTTTAGTGGAGGGTTTGTGATCGCTTCCGAGCTTTGTTGAAACATGAATAATTGAGAAATGTGGGTGGTGAGAGTGGTCCTATGGATTGGTTCAATAATCCAAGATAGCGCTAACCAGGCAGCAGTGCAGTAAAATTGAAAGATGACCAATAACGAACCGGAGTTTTGAACCAATTAAATCCGCCGTGGTTCATCCAAGAATGCCATAGCGAGAAGAACACGGAAGCTGATTGATCAACTCCCGTTGAACCGATAGTCTGTCTTTGTTTATATTATTCCAGATGTTTGATTCCTTCCAATAAAATAACCGCTATTGGTGTAGCCTGACACGTGAATATCAGCACCGGGAAATTCCGGTAAGTGACTGCGAAAGCGATTTCCATTGAGATTACTGCCATTCTGCGACCTGAACCTCTTGCACAACTATTATCAGAAATGTGATTAGAGTATGCAAGCTTGGATCAGCCCATTCGTTTGTTAAGAGGCACCAGTCACTCTTGATGTTCTTGGGTGTGGGTTTCACTCTTTGGGAGATCGTTAATTCCCCACAATTTCATGCATTTACATGCGATTTACATGTTTGTGATAACCAACAAACAGAGTCCCAAACAGAACGAACAGTTGTCCAGTGCTCTTTGTTGGTTATCATAAACATTTCTATCGCATTTAAATATATATTTATTTATATAATATTTCATTTCATTTCATTTCTTATAATTAGGAACTAGGGGCGGCAGTGGTAGAGTGGTACGGTCGACGAACTAACCACCTGATGGTCCCGGGTTCGAACCCCGCCACCGCAGCCCATCTTCCCATTGTCTGTATTTCCCCAGGCAGCATTTGAATGGTCGCACCCCACTTCCTGATGGTTTATTGTGAATTTTCACAATCAATAAACAAAAAGGGATGTAAACATCTACAGTATATCATATATTATTACGAAATAACAAAATCCTAGCATGTAACAACTCATCGTTTTCAGTTCACAGCCTAATGCGTGTTTCCAATTGCACTTTTACATCGCAATTCCTACTTGACTCTCTACTCGTTTTAATGTTTGTTACATGGGTATAACAAAGCACCCAGCAGCTTCCATTCTCAACACTCAAACAAGATTAGCCTGCATTCGGCTAAATTTCCCTCTCTCTCTCTCTATCTGCCCATTCAGTTCGACTAATTCGGAAAAAGAAAAATTGGATTTTCATGCGACTGGTTCGTTTATTTTGTATCACTTTCCTTTTTTTCTTAAATTAACCAGATGCAATCGACAGACGACGACCAATCAATCGTTTTTACCTTCGATTACAAACACTCCACCCACCCCACCCCACGTTTCTGAATTTGAAGGTCTGTTATAAAAATGGACCACACAAGAAGTGGTGGTAGTTTGTCTTGTGGACGGGTAGAAAACAAACTGCAATCGTTTCGAGTATTGGATAGTCACGAAAATTGCGTTTATCTCTCTCTCCCTCCCTCTCTCTGTCTTGCATACAAAGGCGGTTTACTTGGATATTCGATTTCCTCCCGCTTGGCGGAGTCTATTCTTCCTTTTTTGCATTATCCTATCGGAACGGATTTTCTTATACGCTGCGTTTACACACAGAGACTATCAGTGCTGGAAAAAATAAGAGAAACAATACTTGATTTCTGCCTTGAGCATCGATTGGGTTCGTACATTTATTTGATTTCTGACCAGCATTCATCAATTCGAACAGGGAATAATCATTCGGTGGCGTGGGGGAGGGGGGGATAGACAGAAAATAACGAACGGGAATAACAGTGTTCTCTTGGCATGCATTGCATAATGTTTGCACTAATAATTCGAATAAATAGAACCAACCAACAACTTTGGTTGGGTCAAAATCATGGCAGAGGTGATCAAAACAGGATATAAGAGTAACCACTTAGTGGTTTCCATTTTTACTCCTCAGTGTTTATAGTAAGCGTTATGTCAAAATTTCATGTTCGATACAATTCCCTGTCTGTTGTGCTATTATCTGTCAAACGAACATCGTCAGTGTGATTAAACTAGCATTTCGGTGTGGCTACATCATTCTGAAAAGGAACAGACATCCTGAAAATAGATTATGAACATATCGTATAAATGAATGCTGGAAATTTTTAAATTTTATAAAAACTGATAGTTAGATAAAAGTCAAAGTTTAAAACGGGCGATATAACAAAGCTAAAACTTATCATACCTCACAGGAGTTTTACAAAATCGTTTGAATAACTTCACAGACAGAAAATTACAATGATAATAATGTGCATAATCACTCACGGATGTTGAAATCTTAAGCGTTCCAATGTTTTATCAAGTTGCGATTTAAATAGTTCAACTTTAGGAGCACACACAACATCGGATGGAAGAGAATCCCATGCGCCGCACACTGTGACTGCAGACGACTGATACTGGCAATCAAGGTGGCTGTTCTGGGTCTTCAACTTTAGTGGATACCCCTGAGGTAATCATTATGAGATAAAGTCAGCAGAGAACGGCAAGGGTGGTTGGATTGATGCAGTATGTGATATGCCAAAATTAGGTCTCCTCTAAGTCGGCGGTATTGGGATGAGTAGAGTCCCAATATTTGCAGTCTTTCGGATTATGTCTTTTTATACAGACCTTTTACCAATTTTGTTGCCAGCCTTTGTGGACTTCTAGAACCTTCTTGTTGCAGTTCAGCCGTGGATTTCGGACTTGAACGGCCTACTCCGTGTGTGGCCGAACTAACGCTGATAGCAAGCGGGGGAACAGTGTTCTTTCGAACTGCCCGAAAACACGTCTAAGCAGTCCAACTTGCTGTAGAGCCATAGATGATGCTCTAGCACACTGCACGGAACATCTTACATCCTTCTGTACCATAACTCTCAAATCCCTTTCATCAGTGGCATGTGGTAGTAGTTAGTTTCCCAGAACATGAGAGAAACGAGTCTTGTGCCGTATGGAAATAACTCTATATTTGAAAACGTTGAACTCGATGTCACTGGCGATTGACCTGCATTGATCGTTTGTTGGAATGGATGTGTTATAGTTCTCCAGATCTTAGCGTCGTCCGCAAATAGCAGTGTATTAGACCCAAGGACATGTGGCAGGTCGTTTATAAATGCTAGAAACAGGCGAGGCCCCAGATGCTATGGCATGCCAGCTGTCTAGCTATCC